CTGCGTTAAAGTTATGCCAAGATTCGCCTTTGTTTTTTTCTCGGAAACTGCTGAAGAGATATCTCCTGCAGCCGAGCATCGAGTTCGTGATGGTCTAGATCAACGCCAGTGCTGGCACCCATGTCAGACAAATCACGATGGTCTTGGTCCCGGTATGGTGTAATCACGACTAAGTGTAACCACATTGCTATGGTAACACATGACTACATGACGAACATAAGGGACCGGCCGTAAAGTGGAAATCATGACATTCGTGTCATTTAAGTCATGACTACACGCCATGCTCATGTTGAGCTCGCGGTCATTTCACTAGAACTTTAGCATGACTCGATCCTAATGATGTCTATTCCGTATACTGTAGCGGCCCTGATCGCGATCAAAGATGGTCATGTGACGCCAGTATGTGTGGTGCGTAAGCGCCAAGTGTTACTGCCGGCTGCGGCCGTTCTTCAGACAATGTTGTGGAGCGATCGGAACGGCGTCTTTCGATTTGTTTCCAACGTGCGTTAGCGCCTGAGTTGCTGTAAAAAGCTGAAAACGCGGATCATTTTTTATTGACGTCTTTCGACTTGTCATACAAAAACAATACACCAAAATTTCATTTAAAATTTGCAATTACTCTGAATTACTCTGAATTCACTTTCTTTTGGCGCGTCTTCTCTGAGCTAAAAAAACAGGAATGCTTGCTTAGCCAGATGCACATTTCTTATTGGCACGAGAAGTATTCCATCTTACTTTAATCCAATCTAGTTTTGGTAGATTAAAATTCTTCTCACTAGCTCACCATGTTCAACATAATGTCCGTTTTATATAAACATTTCCTTATTTCATTTTTCTTTATACTCCAGGTAACGAATTTATTTCTCGTCCTTTATATCAAATTAGAAAGATATCTCTTATATTAACGACATTCTTCATGAAAAACCTTCCGTCGTGGGTATCAGCGAAGAAGAAATGTTCATCAATGCAAACAAACAACCAGAATAAAGGGGTAACCCGCAATCACGAAAACGCGTGTTTTAAATAAAGTTTTCGCGAATTCAAAAGTCTACTGACAACTATAATCATTCATGTCACTTTTACATCTAGTCACAGTGAGCACCTAATGTAGTTCGACAAAACGTTTCTACGAAGCCTGCATGAACTCTACCCCTCTTGAATTTTTCTTGCACCACCGGTATGACGCACTTATACTGCTCAGATATATTTCCATTCTTCACGCATGCGTATTTAGTATACATTTAAACCTTATCCCTGTTTGTAAACAGTGCTAGCCACCATCGACATACTGAGACGCTTGTGACGTCGTCTGGTGAGAGTAATTGTTTGTTACGTAGTCGTGACGTACTTCATGAGGCCAGATATCGCCGAGTGTCCGCTCTTCTTCTTTCTCTTTGTACAGGCTTCATACGTGATATTGTGTGAATGTGCGCGTGTTTGCGTAACGCAATAAGTGGAGTCAATGCCCTTTCTCTCATACCTTACTTAATTTTTAGAAATTGCAGCTCTCCCATGAATGGACACCGAGACCTTCGTGTTTCTGGTTCATTTGGTGACAGTGTATAGCGCACGTTATATCTCTCTCTCTCTTCTAAAGGTGCGTCCGCTATGAAAGGTGTCGCAAAATGAACCTTTAACGGCCGTTTACCTTATCAGTTCTCCACTTATGATGTGAGACCGTTAGGCAGCAAAACAATATCAAACAATGACATCTGTACAAACCGCACGGTGCATTAGAACTCCGGGACAATTTTTGTAAATATCATTTGTAAAATATCAAAAGAAGATGTTAGTTCAAGACCTATCAGCACGCCAGAACTTCATCACCTGTCTCTTTGTAATAGCTTATTGCAAAAAGGCGTGATAGTACAACGCATTGCAAATGCAATGTAACGCGGTTTTAATGCTAAGCTGTAGAGTGCGGGTTCGATTTGCTGCAATGGCTGCTGCAGTTTTCGGTGGGGGCGAAATGCGAAGAACACCCATGTACTTAGGATTGAAGTGCATCTGAAGAGCCCCAGTCGTTTATATTTAAGTGCAATTTTACGCTATTGACATGCCTGATAATCGTATCGAGGTTCTCCCAAAACGCAAGACAAGGCAATTGCATTGTTAGGCACCTCGTTGGTATGCACTTTGTTGTTAATTTGGTTGCCGTATGGAGAGCAATATAGATTGGTTTAGTAATTACGTTTCTGAAATGTTTTAATTGCAATATGTTGCATTGCAAATTACAGCTGACCAAAAGTAAATAAAGTAATTACAGCTGACCAAAAATTGACATCACTATTACCCTTGAAAAGTAAGGAAGCTATCGGCACAAGAGTTCCTCACTCATGCGAAAACTCATACACACTTATGTTCAGCACGTGTACAATGAAAGATGAGATATGTTTGCGCAGATTTGTACCATTTAGTTTTAGCGCCTGGTTGAAATCGTTCATGTTAAACTGATTTTGATTGATCTTTTTTGCGCCACAAAGAAACAGGAAATGCCACATTTAAGTCAGCAAGAATTCACAACGCAATGAGTATTTTCTAGTAATTAGTCTTTTAGGTAGTTCACTGGATGTCTAATTACCATCCCACAAAACTAATTACTTACAATTATATATTACAGAAAAGCTAACGCTGCTTAGAGCAGTTCAATAGTTTCCAAGTCTGGGGTAGGTATCGTGCTAACCGCTACAGGATAAGGCCCAACCAGGAACAGTGAATAATACCGCAAGGTAAAAAGAATTTAGCAGCCTGAATACGCAGATAACATCTACAGCAAGGACACACACACACACAGCAATCCAAGTTCCCGCTGCATACATTCAGCACGGCATCTAACCACAGCGGCACCTCTGTACGCGTTTCTCAACGCTGAGAGGGTAATCTGCTGGTGTCCGGTACAGAGTACACATGACTGATAAGAGATAATCGATCTTTCAGATTACGCACCGACTACACGAGTCAATATTTACACGCGCACCATTCAGTGACCCACTCTCACTGTGACGTGGGGCAGTCCGGGCTGATAGCGGCAGAAAATGGGGATAGGATGCGGAAGCGTACAATAATATTGAGAAAGATTACGACCCATGAGTGATAAGTTTCGCCACCCAGCTTCCGTTTTTTAACTGTTGTCCTGGTTCCGTGTATGGCGTTGTTATCTGGAAGTCACAGTGGTACTCTTCCTGAGCTAACGATAGCGTCGGTATTGAAGTGGTGAATCAAGATTACAACATCGTTATCTCACACACATTCGCATTGCATTTTCTCTTCCTTTCGCCACTGGTTGAAGAAAAGAAATCGTAAATTGCAATGTAGTCCAAGTATTACTGCCAATTTATACTTTCTAGAAGACTTCTATCGGCGAATTGGCGTTAAGTTTACAGAGTGTATCAGCGTCTAACGTGTTAAGCAGTACCACAATTTCTTGCCTCAATGTAATGTTCGGCTGCAATAACGGCGAAAGATGCGGGAATTGTGTAGATAACAACCATTGTTGAGGTTTCACGTCCCAAAATCACAATAATGATGAGAGAGACCGCAGTCGAGGGTTACTGAAATGTCGACTACTTCCGCTTCCTTAATGTGCACCTGAATCTAACAACACAGTCCTCTAGCATCCTGCCTCGGTAAAACTGCAGCCGCCGCCACCGGTGTTCAAACCCACTACCTTAGGGTTAACGCCATAACTACTACATCGAGCGCCATAACGGCTATTGATCACCGATTCAGCAGTGGCCTAGCCAGGGTATACTGACACACCAGGCCCGTTAACTCCAGGTTTTTTTTGCGCCATGGCATATAGAGCGAAAAATGAACATTTCACAAAGGTCCCCGAAAAAAGTTATGCGTACATCCCTGCACGACTGATCCCAATCGTACAGAGGCAAACGATCTTATCAGTGGAGTGACCACCCCATTGTGGTGTTAAGCTACACATGAGTGCCGATAAAAAGAAATAATCAAGACGCATCAAACGATTGATCGAGAGTCGTCATGACGAACGCGGATTTCGTTGTTAGGATAATTAACTAGTACCGCAAAAGTTGTCGAAGCCCCAGTTGACGGCTGAAACAATGGCAGTAATCAGTCGCTAAGACTTGGTGCTGTCAATTCATACTCGCGAAGGTAGAAGGGAAGTACAGCCCAACGCGAGGCGCGAGGCCCCTGCAGTTGGTGAGGTGTGCGGATAATATATTTCAGAACCAAATAAAACTATATTAGAATAGCGATGTCAACGAATCGATTACGAATACTATCCAGATAGTTTAGGGACAGGAAGAAGAAAATTTTCAAAGAATCCTTAGGTTTCAACCATACTTTATTTTGCATAAATACTCACAAACATTAACAAAAAGGACATTGCGATAAACGTAATCTGAAAAGATGCCGCATTTATCAGCCATGAAAACTGGGGCAAACTGGTGTCCACAACAAAAGACTACAAGATACTTAGTAATTGTACATTGACAGGCAGCGGTTGCTTCAGAAATCAAAGCAGCACTTTATCATCATCATTTACGCACAGCTGAGACATCAAAATTAAAACAAATTTCATGAATCGTCACCATTAATCTCATGAAGATCACAGCAGGTTGAGGCCAGTTTCGCTTGACGAGAATAGGGTTTTACGATGGCGCAGCTTTATCTACGTTTAGTACAGAGTCATTAGTACGTAGCTGATTGGGCTGCATATATCTTTGCACTCTAATGACAAGAGGAAACGTGCTACCTGTATGTTCCACTGTTTTGTTTCTGAGAAGTTCGTCTACCAATGCATACTATTCGAAATACTTTAAAGATATATAGGGTATTTCGAAGATGTGCCATTTGATTTCATTAGTGAATCGGGTAGAGCGCTATTCGATTTGGTATTCTAGAATTTTAATGGTAGCACTAGCCTCTTTACTACGTGTACGAGAACGAGAGCACTGGTAGGCGCTATTAACTATCATCAGCGGTGACGGATAAGTGGATTAGAGGCCCCACTTGGTTTGACATACCTCGTTAGTGGTGACAGTAGAAGTCCAGCTGGCTTCGTGGTAACCCAAAGAAAACAGCTCAATAGAAGAGGCTGCCACGAGGAGAGGGTTTACAAATTGTGTAGCCTTATGTAGCCTACAGCTTGTGTTCTTCGCAATAGACAACCACAACAGACCGCAGACGAGTTATACGTTCACAGCGGAGCAGACCATCCGCACGAGAGATACCGGCGCGGTGTACAGCACACGCTCTCTTCTTAAACTGGCGTCACGAGTCAAGTGTGCGCGAGTTGTGTTATGTGATTCCTGCGCGCGCGGATACACGCGCTTCGCGCCACCCGCGGCGCGTCGTCCCGAGCGTGGGCAGGACTGGTCACGTGGTGGACGCGTCCTTCCGGTTATCGCGACGGAAGGGGACGCCCCTTTTACCTAGCGGCGGTCGTCTCGCGTCAGCCGACGTCGCGGGGGCAATCCCTCTCGCTTTTCAAATCGCTCCGCTGCGTACACACGGAAATTAAGGACACGGGTTGGGCAAGGGAGTTAAAAGCGGGAAGGGAGCTGATCTGTGTGTCGTAACAGAGAAGGCGAACAGTCAGTCAAGTGCATGGCGGGGCGTCAGGTTGCAAAGGGCCGTAAAGCCTTTACGGTGCATTAAACTATGCGAGAAGAAGGGTTTTTTTTTTTCGTTTATGATAGACGCTTCCTGCATTAGATGTGTTTTCTTTCCTGCTTTATTTTCTCTCACTTCTTTATTACGGAGAAGACGCAGTGGTCGTCTGCGATGCACTCAGTTTGCGCTACCTGTTACGTAAGGAGCAGCGCTGCTTGGGAACGGGTGTCGCCGCGGCGTTGTTTGGATTGGGTGAAATGAAGGAGACAGATTGTGTTTAATTCTTACTTACGCTAACAGAGCCAACCTCGCTTACTACGGGGAGAACAGCACGCCCCGAAAATGCTGGATAGAAACAAGGACGTCAAAATGAAGTTCAATGCGGTAACTTTCTTTTGTTGTAACACTTTGGAATTAGCGTTGCTATCTCCTCCTATACGCGTGAGTATGTGTGTGTGTGTGCGTGTGTGTGTGTGAGTGTGTAAGTGTGTGTGTGCGTATGTGTATGTGTGTGTGCGTGTTTGTGTGTCTGTGTGTGTGTTTGTGTGCGTGTGTCTCTGTGTTTGTGTGCGTGTGTGTGCGCGTGTGCGTGTGTGTATGAGTGTGTATGCGTGTGTGTGTGTATGTGTGTGTATGTGTATGTGTGTGTGTATGTGTGCGTGTGTATGTCTGTGTGTTTGTGTGTGTATGTGTGTGTGTGTGCGTGTGTGTATGTGTGTGTGCGTGTGTGCGTTCGCGCGTGTGTGTGTGTATGTGTGTGTGCGTTCGGGCGTGTGTGTGTGTGTATGTGTGCGTGTGTGTGTGTGCGTGTGGGCGTGCGTTCGTGTGTGTGTGTGTGTGTGTGTGTGTGTGCGCGCGTGCGCGTGTGTGTGTGCGTGTGTGCGTGCGTGTGTGTGTGCGTGTGTGTGTGTGTGTGTGTGTGTGTGTGTGAGCGCCACGCGCGTTGGTCTCCAAACATTTTTTGGTATTTGAAATAAGTCATTGACGGATACGCTAGCTGCGTGGGATAATTTGCTCGCTGTTCAAGTCTTCGAGAAACACTAATGCACCACAATCTATCTCATCACATTTTTCTGCCTCTTTTGTACAAGTACGACTTGTTATGACACCTTACATACCTCTCGAAAAACAGTGAACGCGAATAAATTTTAAACGTTTGCTGTGTTTTCTCTTTCGCGCACAAGTAATGACGCCAACAACCTGTTGGCGTAACGTCATGAGGAACCAAGCTCTATATTCAGCTGCAACTTCCGAAGTCGCCAGTGTTCCCACATGAGAGGCGGGTTCAGACAAGTCGCACCAATGAGCGAGCACTCTTGAGTGACGTCACGAGCCACACTGCCAAAGTGACACCGCCTTCATAGGACCTTAGTCAGTGGACGAGCGGGGGTTATTTATTCCGCGAGCCTGCTATGCACTGTATTGCATGACAATCGTGTGCGATCAAGTAATTTCATTTCAAATAGTTTCAAGGGGTAATTGCAGTGTGTAGCTGGAAATCACTAAAAACTGCTATTCGGTTTGTTATGATCACGTATATGCTTATATATTTGAGTCTTGAATACATCATTTCCTTTTTTTTTGAAATATTGTGTCGTAACTGTCTTCAAATATCATATCCTAATTTAGCAAGGTTATGCTAGCTTGTATACTGCTTGTGCCGATCACTTTTTACGCTTGGAGACTCTGACCCTGCGTGCTCTATATTAGATACCTATAAGGCATAATGATTAGCCGTGACCCTATTTGTAAGCCAATATCTCCTCACATCGCGTCAATAAAAAAAAAACTAAAGACGATAGATCTAACGATCGCCGTTGACAGTGTGCATGTGTTTTACGAAAAAATGTGCGGAGAGGTGGAGTTCGTGCCTCCAGAGTGAGTTGTAACCTAAAAGTGAGTGCAAGCTCCGTCCACATACATCGCTGCCCCACTGACACAAAATTTGAATGGGTAGGGTGTCAACAAATGAAAGTTTATTAAATGTGAAGCATTTCTCAGCGAACTTCGGCAACTTTGAATCTATCTATCTATCTATCTATCTATCTATCTATCTATCTATCTATCTATCTATCTATCTATCTATCTATCTATGTATCTATCTATCTATCTATCTATCTATCTATCTATCTATCTATCTATCTAACCACCTACGACTTTTAGCTCTCCTGGACGTTTGGATAATGTTATCGATACCAAACTTGGTATGGCATAACATGACTGTATGACGAGCATATATGACTAGTCATGACATGAAAATCATGACATGTATGTCATGAGTGTCATAATTTACACTCCATGGTTTTGCTGTTCTTGCGTTGGTCTCGTTCACATGACATGTTGCAAAACTGGTATGGCATGTCATGATTGCATGGCGAACACAAGCGATAGAGTGTAACGTGGGAATCATGACATGCATGACATGTAAGTCATGACTCATGACTACACACCACGCCATGATGCGCTCGCAGTCGTCTTGCTAGCTTCACATGTACCAATTTCGGTGTTATGTGATGCGAATAGATCACGAAGGTATGTGACTGGTGCAAACATAATAATAATGTGATGCGTGTCATGTGACATTAAGACTACAAGCCACACTCATGATGCCCTCTCAGCCGTTTCGCTGGCTTCACGTACGCCAAATTTGGTATTACAGGACGTGAATGGACGACAAACGAATGTGACTGGTGCAAGCATGATAATCATGTGATGCGTGTCATGTAACAACATGACTACACGATACGCTCATGATGCGCTCGCGGCCATCTCGCTAGCTTCACATGTTCCAAATTCAGTATTACGTAACGCGAACGGACTACATATGTAAATACATGTTCAAACATGATAATCATGACATGCGTATCATGTAAACACATGACTACATGCCACACTCATGATGTGCTCTGGGCCATTTCGATAGATTCATATATGCCAAATTTGGTATTTCGTCACGTCAATGAATGACGAAGGTATGTGATTGGTACAAACATAATAATTATGAGATGCGTGTCATGTAAGAACATGACTACATGCCACACTGAACGCGCCAATACACTCAGACGTGACCCGGTGCGCGTGTGCTCCAGCGTTCGTTTCGTCGCGTCATGCCGGCGATGCCACGCCAGGCGCCGATCTGCCTGGCATATGCTCGCAGGCACGCGCCGAACTGTGTTGCTTTGACGCATGCGCGTTTAAGCACGCCCGGCGTCCCTTTGTCACAAAGCTAGGCTGACGCGGTGCATTCTGGGTAACGTGGTTGGTGCGAAATGCAGCATGTCGCATTTCGCACCGGTTGCCGGCGGGCTGCGCCGACAGACGCTGGTCGCGTCTGGCGTCAGACTATAGATTGTTGGCGTTTTGCTAGCGTAGCGTCGCTGCGCCCAGCGTGCACTCGTCAACGTTACGTCGGAGTATTATGGGCTCTTCATGATGCTTTCCCCACCGTTCCGCTAGCTTCACATATTCCAAGTTTGGTATTACGGGACGTGAATGGACGACGAAAGTATGTGACTGATGCAAACGTGATAATCATGAGATACGTATCATGTAACAACACGACCACATGCCACGCTCATGATGCGCTCGCGGTCGTTTCCCTTGCTTCAAACACAGCAAATTAGTATTGCATGATGTCAATAGATGGCGAAGTTAAATGACACGTCCGAACATGATGATTATGATATGCGTGTCATGTAAAACATGACTACATGCTACGCTCATAGTACGCTCGCGGCCGTTTCGGTAGCTCCACATATACCAAGTTGGGTATCAGGTGGCATGAATAGATGATGAAGGTAAATGACACGTACAAACATAAATATTATGACATGGAAGTTATGTACGGCATAATTTACTTCCGCCTTTTAAACTGACATACAAACCTTCCGCATTCGTGCTTCGCTTATCATCGATTCCCACTGTACGTGGGATCTGCCAACTTTTTGACCAGTACACGCTAGCGCTAGTGACGACTATAAACGAAATGCACAGACAATGAACTCTCAAGTCAGTGAACTTCTTAGGATCTGTAGAAAAAAGAGTTCACTGAATACTGAACACGAAATTTTCATTGAGATACGGAACGGCTTGAGGCACAGCAGAAATCAAATCGAACGTGTGAAATGAAACCCATTGCAAATTGCATTATATAATTTCGATTCCGACTTAAAGCGCAAAAGAGACAAAACTGAGCTGCCCAAGTCTTGCAACTTTCTAATGTATCCTGCAGCTTCGGCTGCAGACACCAAATTTAAACCTGCCTCAACCATTAAAACTTACTGGTCATATTTTTCCTATTTTGGTTTCCGACGTATACTGGAAACAATTTTCAAGTATGCCAGCCCTGCGCTGGTACAGAAGCGCACATAACTCGTTTTACGCTCTGGCATGAGCACTTTCCCTTCGCGTTGCGGCATTTATATACAAACACAGCCAAGCTAGAGAAGCGGCACGCGCGCACACGCATGCCAATCTGGTAGCTTGGTCATTATACAAGCTATGTCACACCACCACCGATGGATGAGTGATACGCGTAAGGGACGCATCGGCTGCGCCAGTGCAGCATACTGTGAAATTTCGCTGATGTAACAAAACTGAAACCGGGTCCACATTTGAAGTTAGTTCAACCGAAATAGTCACTGTTCAGAAGTTAACTCAATTGA